CATATTACAAAGTCTAACCGCCCCCCCTCGAGTTTCCACCAATAGTGTCCAGACACGTCCTTTGGCCCCGCCCACCTGTCACATTTAAAGATGCCCTCATATTCCCTCCGGCTCTTAGATTTCTCCCTCGGCTTGAAAAAGAGGCACCCGCCTCGAAACGCGTAGCCCTTCAGCCCTTTCACAGCTCCTCTCACTCGTCAGGACGACCTTTGAGCCTTCAGCCCTGCTCTGACCATCACCGGCATTTTCTCACACACTGCTGACTGACAGGGCTCGATACCGCAGCAGAGCGGCTTCTCTCCCATGCAGCTGCAAAAGGCTCAGCCTGGCCAGCTGAGTCTTTACAGCACTGTACCGCTCAAACCAGCGTCCAACATTTTGGGAGCTGCAACAGACTGGCGTTACAACGTCTTTCTCCTGTTTTCTCCCCACCCCACCCCCCTTCAGCCTTCCCCTCCAGGTTCCACACAGTGCCTCTTTATCTGCAGGCATCATCAAACAGTGAGACAATTCAGGTTTACCTACCATCTATGTATATCACACTGTAAATTACGTTTTTAAAAAGTTGAGCGCTTCTTTTTGTTTAATCTATGCACAGGGTCCCTCTCCCTGTTTGAGAAGCTAGCACACCCAGTGCCACTGATTAAAATTAAACACATATCCCACTACACAGTTGTGCGCTTCCCATACATTTTTTGTTTGTATTTGACTGTTCTAACTAAGGATGCACCAATACCGTTTTTTCGGTATGGAGTAGCGTAGCAATACGGTAAGTAGCAATATTTTTTCCCCAGTTCTCGCTCATACAGAATACCTATACCGGCCTCCGTGGGCCTGGATTATCAGAAAGCCGGGCAGTGGGTCTATTGAACGAACACCGGCTTCACGTTCCGGGGCAGCCTGGCTTCCTGACCAATCAAGAAGCCGGGCGGCACGTCATGATCCGCCTCCCGGCTACCCTATTGGTCAGGAAGCCAGGCTGCCCAGCAAGTGAAGCCTGCTTCCTAGCCAATTAGGTAGCCGGTCGGCACGTCATGATCCACCTCCCGGCTTCCTGATTGGCTAGGATGCCAGCTTCATGATGTGAGCCAGCCTGGTTTCCTGCCCAATCAGTAAGCCAGGCTGTCTACCAAGTGAAGCCGGCTTCCTAGCCAATCCGGAAGCCAGGAGGTGGGTCATGGCATGCCGCTCAGCTTCCTGACTAGCTAGCAAGCCAGTAGTGAACCTGTCTTCCAGGAACATCACCCCGGGTGAGTGCAAACTTTTGGCCAAAGGCCTATCTTTTTGCCCAACCGGGCGTTTGAGGCATTTAACTTTGAGATTGATCTGTTTGCCCAAATTCAAGGAACATAAAATTAAAACAATATTTCTCGGGACAGAAACCACAAACTGATCGCAGAGAAATATCAGCATTTAAGGTTAAAAGCGATTTTATACCCCCAGGGCAGTTTCCTACTATTGATAGTTTTTTGCAGGCTGTCAGATATGATGTGTCACAGGGTACTAAAAAGAAGGGGTAGAGATCCAGTAATATGTCCAAAGATGACTGGTCTTCACTTACTTATGACATCAGTATCATTATTAAACCTGCCAATAAGGGAGGAGCCTTTGTTGTAGTTAACTATATAGATTTTTGCACAGGGATATCTCAGATGCTGGCAGATGGCGAGAGCTACATGCCAGTTTCAAAAATGATAACCCATGACACATTGAGAAGCCTCATCTCCCTGGCAGACATTGGCTTGACGAACAGGTGGATTAAGGAAGAATTGGCCGAATTTCTGGTGAACAAACATGTACAAATACCGGTTATATATGGACTGCTGAAAATACACAAAGGGTTAGACCCTGTGAAGTTGAGACCCACTGTGTCAGGAAGAGATTCCATTACACAACCTTTAGCCCAGTTTATTAATTCAATTCTGCAACCCTTAGCCAAGAACCTACCTGCATACCTTAGGGACACAGAGGACTTTCTAGGCATATTGAAACATTTCCCAACCTTTAAAGAGGGATGGAAATTGGCAACAATGGATATTTCCTCATTGTATACCAGTATCCCTAACGAAGCTGGTCTTTCAGCAGTTGAATTATTTTTGACACAGTGCATGCATTTTGTACTTGAGCACAACTTTTTCCTTTTTGAACAACAGATGTTTTTACAAACTAAAGGGACTGTGATGGGCAGCTCAGCTGCCCCATCATTTGCCAACTTGTTTATTGGATATCTTGAACAAGTGCATGTTTATTCTGCACAGCTGTTTCAAACGCATGTGAAATGTTGTAGAAGACACATTGATGATGTATTTATGATTTGGGAGGGGGGTGTTTCCCTTTTTCATACATTTGTAACATTCTTGAATGGTATTTTTCCTGGAATAGTGTTCAACCCAGAGGTATCCGATATTGGAGTGGCTTTTCTTGATGTCTACATTACAGTACATGAACAGAAACTATACACTTCACTATTCTCTAAACCGACTGACAGAAATACAACTTTACACTATGATAGTTCTCATTCTAAACACTTACTAAACAGTCTGCCCATATCACAGTTCTTCAGAGTCCTGAGGATATGCTCAGACCTTGAGAGCCGTGACAAAAACATTGAGCTCATGCATCACAAATTCATACAGAGAGGCTATCCAACTAAAGCAGTCGACGAGACCCTGGCTACAGCCATTGAGAAAACAGAAATCACCTTTTTACCCAGTCAAAACTAGGAAAAATTGAATTTCTACAAACGTACTCCTCTGCTTCAGGGACAGTACGCAAATTCACACTGAAGAACATGCACATTTTAAAAGCCGATAAAATCCTGACCTCATTGGTCAAAATAGCCTCACTGCAGGCTTATCGTTGCAATAAAACACTTAAAGATCATCTGGTACAAGCGGATCCTAGGACTAAATATGCAAAACCTACATGTAAGCTGTCCCACAGAACAGGATGCTATAAGTGCCAGAATTGTAAGATCTGTAACTCGTTGATCACTGGTGAGCAATTTTTGCACCCACACAATGGCTACAGATACACCATCAAGGAATACTTCAACATGCTTAAGTGTCCCTGTGCCCTGGTATATGTGGGGAAAACCATAGGCCCCCTTTAAGAGGCGTTTCCAAAGACACCGAAGTGACATTAGGACCACACTGGCGAAACTCACTAAGGGTGAGGAAATTGATAAGACCAAACCGGTTGCTGTACATTTTGCAGAACATAGACACCAAGTGCATGAGTTGAGGGGTATGGTCATCGACCATGTCCAGGCACCTCATCAAGGCGGCAATAGAGAGAAACAACTATTTGATTTATTTGAAGCGTATTTGATATTTACGTTTGACACTGTTATACCAAGGGGTCTCAACAGTAACTCCTCATTAACTTGCTTCCTGTCAGAGAGATAAGGATGGACTCTGAGTTTATCTATACCCCATGGGTTTATTTGTGACAGCTTGGGGATGTAAATAGTATTCTATATTGTTCATGGATTAACCAGGACCATCATGAGTGCCACATAACCAAACACATCATTTGATTTACACATCAGTTTGGCACATGCGTTTTGAATATGCATGGTTTATGTAGCCTGCATATGACTCACCTTCACTGGAGTCATTTACCCAGGACTATTTAACAGGACACTCTAATGATGCACAACAACCTGCTAGTTGACATACATATATGACAACGCATTTGGTACACATGACAGACACATAGTTCATGTCACAATCTTTGGACTGGGGCTTTTGAGCTATGGTTGCTCAGATGATCTTTTATGACAATGTTAAAGCCGCGGTCCTACCATTAGACCTGTGACTGCTTTCATTGATTTATAACAGGTTTAGAATCATCCCTTCTTTTTTTTATGCTGGTTTATACCTCTATGTGTTGTGTGACCATGTCTACGTTTAGCAGCATGTAACTCATTATGTCATCTATTATGCATACAAGATTTGTTCCTTTATGTTGACCTGAGCCATCCTGAATATGATGATTCCCAGATCGGACTCAGTCACCTCCTATCAGAGCCGCCGACCACATTTACGAATGCACATGCGTTGCAATGCTCATCTATGAACCTTACACATTTGGATGGACATGGCCATGACTAACAGACTGCAGTACAGCCTGACCCAAAATACAGATGAGGGGCGGTACTTGCAGAACAGAAGTGTGTGACCTATGGGCAGATGGGAGGAGTATTGCAAACACACATCTGACTGAATTTTTACATAGAAATGACCGGATTGCATCGATAATATTATGATTCGTGTCATTGCATGGCTCCAAAAGGACTTTGTTTTTTGCATATATGGTTTTACAGGATGACATCTGAAACAGGATATGATGTCAGCAGGACGTCAGGACTATGTGTTTTGGTTGATGGGTTAGTGCACTGGTGTATATATTGTCAACACTTTTTTTGTACTTTTATCACTTTTGTTTGCCTGATGAAGGGACCAGACAGGTTCCGAAATGTTGCCACGCATGGTGATATGAGCTGTGAGAATGAATAAAATGATTTTTTTTTGAAGAAAACCTGGAGTGCAGGTGACCATCTTTCTGTTTTGCGAGCCAAAGTAGTATCACTCCCAGAGCCAACGGTGTCCACGAGGCCGTCAAGCAGCCACGTCCAAAATACCACTTTGGCTTGGTGTCATTTTCCTCTCTACAAGCCCCTTTCTGCCTTTTGGACTAAGCAATTTGAACAGGAAAAGATTGGGCGACTCATCTGATCCCTCGGGCTTGGGTTGTTCTGCTCTGATTCTAATCAAGAGATCAAACAATTGAAAATGCCAGTGAGAGGGTATCCATGCGTGCTGTTGACTATCTTCTAATCTTTTACTTTCACTCTTCTCAAAAAACTTTTCAAAATGTTCACAGTGAGCAGAGGATGTTTATTTCCTCATAACACTGCACAATATGAAACCCAAAACAAAGAGTAATTTTTATCCTCTAACAGTTTTATGCTATTAAACATGTCAAAGACATCCTACCTTGGCCTTTCTCAACAAAAACTACTTTTGATTCAGGAAGGATGTTGGATCCTGTGATAATCATCTTGGCTCCACCTGTTACTGAGCAGGTATTGATGTTATATTTGTCCACTTGAGGTAACTCCTGAGCAGATCGTTGGGCTAACATTAAGAAATAAAAAAAAATTACAGTTGGAAATAAGAAGCCCCCCCCCCAAAAAAAAAATGTATATATATGTACACACACACATACATCAAACACAGAAAACAATTTCAAACATCAGAAGTATTTATTGGAAGTCATTTTTTGACAAAGATGCCATGCAGCTGCTATTGGGCCTCTGGAGTTGGGGCCTGGGGCTCAGGGTGTATTGATCTATATCCACTGCTTTTCCAACTATTTCATCTCTATTAAGGTGCCCATACACTGTGCGATTATCGCACGATAATCGCGGGAAATCCTGCGATCGTACAATAATCGCAAAGTGTATGGAAGACGTGCGACCGTTTTTACTGTATGGTCGCACGTCTTTTGTCTAGGGAGCACGCTAGAAAACCAGCCGAAAATCGTACGATTTTCGGCTGGTTTGAACGGTGCTCGAGAGACAAATGCCGAATGGGCCGGTGTGCGCACGCGCACACTGCCCGTTCAGCATTGCGGTCATCGGACTTGCGGACTTGCGATGGGGGGCGGACTTGCGATGATCGAGAGTACGATCTGCCTGTCCAAGATGTCTTGCGATGGTTGTAAAGTGTATGGCCACCTTTAATCTGGTGCAACAAGAGAAACAGATGCATGACTTAAACCAAAAGCTCACATTCGCAGTTTCTACCAATATTAATGCCACAAGATTTCTAACAGAAGCATGGCAGTTAGTGGTAGCTAGCAGAATATCAATATCAGAGAGCAGATCTCTGAAAATAGACTTAAGAGGTAGATCTGGTGGCTGTGTTATGTTTACAAGTAGCACAAAGCTTTAAAATGGCACATGTTTATGCAAAAAGACACTGGACCGAAGAACTACGAAAATTGAAATGGGAATCTATAGGACCATTTATTCACATACATTACAGGGGTGTGGAAATTTAAAAATAAACTACTTGTCCAAGGGCTAAAGCAGGGGCCAAATCTACGTGTCCTTCATGACAATCTACTTGTCCCAATACAAAAAAATAGTTTTAATCAAAACTAAGGATGCACCAATACCGTTTTTTCGGTATCGAGTACGAGTACCGATTGTTTGCTTTCGGATCTCGCCGACACTGAATACTAATACCGGTGCTTCCGCTGGCATGGATCAGGCTTCCCTTGTAATCAGGAAGCCGGGCAGCGGGTAATGACATCCCGCCCAGGTTCCTGATTGCCACGGAAGCCGGCTCCATGTTGTTTGGCCTGCTTGATTGTGATTGGCCGGGAAACCTGCTTCCTGGTCAATCAGGTAGGCTGCGAGTAATGACCTGATTGACCGGGAAACTGGCTCGATGCTGATTGGCCAGGAAGCCGGCTTTCCAGCCAATCACCAAGGAGCCGGCTTACCGTCCAATCAGAAAACCAGGAGGCGTGTCATTACTTGCCGCACCGCTTCCTGATTGCACGGGAAGCTGGCTCCATGTTCCCCTACGGCACTGCCAGTCAGAGGAAATTTTCATCTGGCCGTAAGTTCCAATATTGGGGAAGGTATCGGAGCATTTGGGTAAGTAGGAGTACTCGCCCAAATACTCGGTATCGGCACTGATACTAGTATCGGTGCACCCCTAATCAAAACATATTTTACTGTGCTAAATAGCGCTTCATCTTACCACGTTGACCAATGAGTGCTTGCAATTTGCGAGCGAAATTCAAAATGCATAGGGGAGGACTGCGCTGGACAGCTGTACGGGGGACAGATAGTAACCCTGGCGGAGGGGAGGGATTGTTCGCCGAAAGGCAAGTATAGCCAGGGGGGTGGCGGTTTGGGAGAGACGTGGCCAGATTTCATTGGGTAATTTTTATTTTTCCATATTACCTGTGAAAATGAACTTACCCGTTAATGCACAGTGTGTGTGTGTGTGTGTAAGATAATTCTGGCTACCACCATGGAATGGCGGCTGCAATCTCAAAGCACATGCAGAATGTCCTACGCATGCGTTTATTTGCATGCAGATGGCGGGGGCAGCAGGGTTTCATTTTTATTTTTTAAATCTTTATACATATATTTTTTTAAACTTTGTATTTATTTACTTTTTCCACTTAATGTTCTTCCTATCACATAGGGGATTAAAATCCCTTATGGGATAGTTTGGAGGTGACAGGTTCTCTTTATGAAACCTGCCCTCCAACACAGAACAGCTGTTCTGTGTAGTTCCTGACAGCCGAAACAGGTGGTGCTGCGATTACAGCGCCACGGTCTCAGAGACACACAGAGAGCCCGTAGAGCAGACTTCTTCATCTGCTCTACAGGCTCTATGGCTGAGCCGTTGTGCCGTAGTTTTCGCGGTCCCCCAGGAGAGCGGGGGATCCCGAAAACTACGGCAGGGGGTGCGTGCAGAAACGATCACCGCTGCTCAAATTGATACAAGTGGTCTGATCAGATCACTTGTACTAAACGAGCGGCGGCGACCATGAGGCATTCAGCTCCGCTTGTCCGGGGCCGGGCTAAATGTACATAAAAACTACTCGCTCGGCGCCCTAAACTGCATGTCCCAAGCGTTGGGCGATAGGAATTCCACACCCCTGCAGTAGTAGCCCTCTTCCCAAAAAGTAGGAGGAGGTGAAAGGTTGCAAGCTTTAATGTTTTATCTTTTCCAAAAACAGGATTTGGTGGGCACCAATGAATTGTCAGTGATGAAAAACAGGATTTCTGACCTACCTATAACATCCTTTTCTTGGAGTACAGTACAGGACACCCACTTGGTCACAGATAACTGGGTTATATGCAGCTACCTTCAGGTGACTGGACACTGGCCTTTAGAGCTGTTAAGACACCATAACCAAGGCAGAGTCCTAATCTTCAAGAATATACTTGTACAAGGATTTGTCTAATCCACCTAGCAAACAGCAGTAAGAGAAGCAGGCAGTCCCCTGTGAGAGCATTAAATGAGGACAAAGAGGCAAAGTGATTGCTCAAAAGAAGACATAGCCAAAAGGAAAACTCATAAAAAATGAACCCTGTTCAACTGTAGAAAGAGAAACCTTCCTAGTAGATTTCAGAGCAGGACAGAAAGTGGATAGCACAAGGTCCTGGTTAAGGTGGAAGAGGAGAAGCCATAGGCAGAAATGAGGCCTTAACCCTCAGGAAAACTTTATCCATATGTAATATGAGGAAGGGTTCTTTACCAGATAAGTCTGTGAAGGTTCCCATTCATCAAGGTCATGGTAGATCTGTAAAAAATAAATCAAGGCAACTGGACTGTATTTTTCTTGAAGATGTATCGCTGGTCATCTACCTAGCTTTCTAAATTCAGAATGACTTGTACAAAAATTCTCTGAGAATAAATATGGGGAATTTTGCTCCAATCAACATAAACTGTTAAACATAACCAGCATGGGGTCAGAGACCTAATGAGGGTAAGGTGTTGATCGCATTTGCATAATCAGAGCTACCAGGTGTTGTTATTAACCCACCCAAAGAGATGTGTTAAAACAGCATTGTATGTGGCAGACAAGATGTCTCACACCCTGCCTCTATTCAAGCTTGGCTTCTCCATTTTTACATAAATGGCCTCTTTCACACCCCCTTTAAACCAGCAATGGCAAAATTCAGAGTTTCTGCAGTAGCATGTATATGAATGTGAATTCTCTACTCATCAAGAGGTTTGGTGTGTGGCAATGTCAGCAGCGATGGAGATCATGTGGTGGTTTGCAGGTGTAGAAGTGTTTCAAGTCCTGATACGCGAGGTTGGCTGTTCAGGTGGAGGTGTTTGATAGACAAGATCCAGGAGTAGGCTTGCAAGGGAGATTCTGTTTCCGAAGTTTCAGGTTGTTGTCCTCCAATGCTGTATGTCTTGCTGGGTCACAGAGGAGAGAGGTGGAAGTCCATTGTGATGTGTACATGCGTCCTAATGTCCAGGCAACGTGGGGAGGGCAGAGAGGATCGATGAGTGGAGGGAGAGCTGTTGGTGTCCTTCAGCTTCAGGTATCGGTGGCAGAGGGGGGAAAAGAAGGAGGAGAGGTGGATGCCAGCGGAGAACCTGCCGTGCAGTGGCTGAGCTCAGAGGGGAACGGCACTTGCTTTCTGGACACTGCTGGGGGAAGTGATCTGGTCAGCGGAGCGCCGGTGTGAGTTGGACGGCGGACGTTGGAGTCGGGGCAGAGAGAAACTTGCGGGCACTGTGAAGCTGTTTTCTGGCAGCACCGCTTTGTTGGGCCGTGGCGGAACCCACAAGGGTGCAGGAGGTGGGGAGGGGGGAGCATCGGCGGTGTAAGTGTGGCACCGGCAGGCACTTGTCGAGAGAAGGGAGGGTGTTAGATGGCGGAAGCTGCTGCAGAGGTGGGAGAAGTAGGCGCAGGCACTGAGAGATCTGGTGCCGGCGGGCGCTGGTATAGGAACTCTGTGACCGAAGCTGCTGGAGTCACAGTGGTGTGGAGGGGTGGTCCATGATGGTGCGTGTGTGTGGGGCTTTGAGAACTGCACACAGTGAAAGAGAGGAGAATGTGGAGTCCGAAATTGCAGGGGCACCTTGGTGCAAAGGGACGGAAGGGGGTATGTGGGAAATGTTTGGGTCACAAATAGTGACACGGAGGTGATTGTGGCAGCGAAGGCAACGCGTTTCGAAGCTGATGCTTCTTTTTCAAGCCAGGTAGGAAGAGTGGATTGCGTGGCACTTTTTTTTTAAACATGTGGGAGGGGAAGGGGGAGTGGCCGTCTCTGGGCGGAGAGTGCACGGCTGTGAGAGCATGTGGGCGGGCACTGTGTCTGCAATGGACTGAATTATGTTTCTGTGCTTTTTCAGATTAGTACTGAAAGACTGGGTACATATGAACGATGGTATTCTTTCACAGGGTGGGGGAGGGGGCCCAGTGTGTAGGAAGGTTATCAGGTACTTTGTAAGAATTAGTTTTTTTGTGAAAGTAAAGTTTTGGGTCTGATAGGGATGAACGGGCTGCAGATGGGGCTGTGTGGTGCACACAGTGAAATAGAGGAAAATGTGGAGCCCGAAATTGCATGTGCACCTAGGTGCAA